ATCTATCAGTTACACATACATGTCAGTACATACACACAACAAGTAGGTCACATGGGGGAGAGTCGTTGTGCCGTGAGGTGTTGCTTTATTTGTTTTTTGAAACCAGGTTTGCTGTTCACTTGCGCTATGTAAGCTGGAAGGGAGTTCCATGCACTCATGGCGCTGTATAATACTGTACATTTCCTTGAATTTGTTCTGTGCCTGGGGACTGTGAAAAGACCCCTAGTGGCATGTCTGGTGGGGTAAATATGTGTGTCAGTGCTGTGTGTAAGTTGACTATGCAAACAATTTGGAATTTCCAACACATGAATGTTTCTTATAAAAACAAGAAGTGACACAGTCAGTCTTTCCTCAACTCTTAGCCAAGAGAGACTGGAATGCACAGTATTAACATTAGCCCTCTGAATACAATGAAGAGCAAGACGTGCCGCTCTGTTCTGGACTAGCTGCAGCTTAACTAGGTATTTCTTTGCAGCACTTGACCATATGACTGGACAATAATCAAGATACGATAAAACTAGAGCTTGCAGGACTTGCTTTGTGGAGTGTGGTGTCAAAAAAGCAGAACATCTCTTTATTACGGACAGACCTCTCCCCTTCTTTGCAACCATTGAATCTATATGTTTTGACCATGACAGTTTACAATCTAAGGTAACACCAAGTAATTTAGTCTCCTCAACTTGTTCAACAGCCACACCATTCATTACCAGATTCAGCTGAGGTCTAGAACTTAGGGAATGATTATGTTCAGGACCAGTTTATTACTGGCTACCAATTCCAAAACAGACTGCAATTCTTTGTTAATGGGTTCAGTGACTTCATTAGCTGTGGTTCCTGATGCGTATATGGTTGAATCATCATCATACATGGACCCACATGCTTTGTTTAATGCCAGTGGCATGTCATTGGTAAAAATAGAAAAGAGTAGAGGGCCTAGAGAGCCTAGAGAGCTGCCCTGCGGTACACCACACTTTACATGTTTGACATTAGAGAAGAGAGGAGGACAGAGGAGAGAACCTCCCCCCTTCTACTCAAAGTGTGCACTCGCTTCATGGATTTGCCCTTAGTGCAGAGATGTATTATAGGTATTGAGTGTGTATGGGAATGCTAGACTTTGTGGTGCAGCAGAAAGGTCAGTGTACCTCAAATCCCAGGTGGGGTCATACTTCAGTTGAACAGCAATAACACATGAAATTGCACATGTGAAAAAGATATGACTTCGTGAAGTGAAGTGCTCCAAAAACATTTTATTTCACATTTGAAATGTCACGTGAAATGTTCCAAAAACATGTTTTCACATGTGAAATGTCACGTGAATTGTTCCAAAAACACGTTTTCACATGATTTCACGTGTGAAATATCACGTTAAGATTTCCAAAAACAAGTTTTCAAATGTGAAATGTTACATGTGAAGTGTTCCAAAAACATGTTTTCACATATTAAATGTCACGTGAAGTGTTCCAAAAACACGTTTTCACATGATTTCAAATCTGAAATGTCACATTTGAAGTGTTTCAAAAACACGTTTTCAAAATGTTACATGTGAAGTGTTCCAAAAACATGTTTTCACATGTGAAATAAGGTGATTTTCCATGTGAAATCATGTGATAACATAGAATTACACTGTTAGCAGATGCTCTTATCCAAAGCGACTTACAGTAGTGAGTGCATACATTTTTGATCTGGTCCCCCGTGAGAATCAAATCCACAACCCTGGCGTTAGAAGCACCATGCTCTACCAACTGAGCCACACAGGACCAAAATATTATATATTTACTGTCAATTTCAATGAATTTGGGTAGGCTACTTTTTTGGCCCGTCCTGCAATTTAACTTGGCATGCCTCACTTGCAATTGTATTTAAGCTTATAGAATACATTAGATGCACTTATTATTTTATAGTAAGTTACCGGCTACTAAGTTGCGGTGAAAATAGTGGAAATAACTTTTTATGTATTTCTACTGCTGAACTATTAGATTAACTGGTAATAAAAATAGCAGTGCATATGGCACTCTTTTGCTAAGTGCAGAGATGTATTATAGGTAATGCATCTGTAGGTGACTTTCTTAGAACGCTACAGACTTTGTGGCACTGCAGAAATATCAATATACCCCCAATCCAGAGGTTGTGAGTTCAAATCCCAGGTAGGGTCATACTGAATGTCAGCACTAAGTGATCGTGTCAAATGTAATCATACAACATTTTACCTGAACAGTGCACCACTTACCTTAAAAATATCATACCATTTCATTACTTCCCTTACAAAAAAACGCATGTTAAATGTACAGTTTCACATGTGCATTATTTATTTTTTATTTTTTACAAATGTACTGTTTTTTTAAACGTGAAAACAAAAGAGACTTGTGGTCAGTTGCTCACATGTGAAACCATATGTTCACATATTACATTTAGAGTTCACATGTTAACACCACCTCACATGTTAACACCACGTGAGGAGAATAACATGTTTGCAAGTCACGTGAAAAACTTTCACATGTGAAAATCGAACTCTCACATGCTTTAAGAAAATCTTGCAAATGTATAATAAATGTAACACTGAAATATCTCATTTACATAAGTATTCACACCCCTAAGTCAATACATGTTAGAATCCTCTTTGGCAGCAGTTACAGCTGTGAGTCTTTCTGGGCAAGTCTCTAAGAGGTTTGCACACTTGAATTGTACAATATTTGCACATTATTCTTTTTTATTTTTATTATTCAAGCTCTGTCAAGTTGGTTGTTGATCATTGCTAGATAGCCATTTTCAAGTCTTGCCATAGATTTTCAAGCCAATTTAAGTCAAAACTGTAACTAGGCCACTCAGGAACATTCAATGTCATCTTGGTAAGCAACTGTAGTGTATATTTGGCCTAGTGTTTTAGGTTATTGTCCTGCTGAAAGGTGAATTTGTCTCCCAGTGTCTATTGGAAAACAGACTAAACCAGATTTTCCTCGAGAATTTGCCCGTGCTTAGCTCTATTCCATTTCTTTTTATCCTAAAAAAATCTGTAGTCCTTGCCGATGACAAGCATACCAACAACATGATGCAGCCACTACCATGCTTGAAAATATGAAGAGTGGTACTCAGTGATGTGTTGTGTTGGATTTGCCCCAAACATAACGCTTTGTATTCAGGTGTCACGGATTCAGCCGAGGCTGCCCCTCCTCCTTGCTCGGGCAGGCTTCGGCGTTCGTCGTCACCGGAGTACTAGCTACTACCGATCCATGTATCTATGTTCGACTTGTTTTGTCTTAATTGGTCACACCTGTTTCCCATCATGTAGTTATGTCTTCCCTATTTAACCCTCTGTCTCACACTGTGTGTTGTGCGTGTTTGTTCATGTTTTTGTTTTAGTGTGCGGGTTTGTTCCCTCCCTGCGTGGAGGTTGTTGTTCATTATTTTACCTACGAGTAAAGTACGCCTTTTGATTAGCTCTGTGTCCTGCGCCTGACTTCGCCTACCGCATTACACTGACGCCTTGACATCAGGACATAAAGTTAATTTCTTTGCCACATTTTTTGGCAGTTTTACTTTAGTGCCTTATTGCAAACAGGATGCATGTTTTGGAATATTGTATTCTGTACAGGTTTCCTTCGTTTCACTCTGTCATTTAAGTTAGTATTGTGGAGTAACTACAATGTTGTTGATCCATCCTCAGTTTACTTCTATCAGAGCCATTAAACTCTGTAACTGTTTTAAAGTCACCATTGGCCTCATGGTAAAATCCCTGAGCAGTTTCCTTCCACTCCGGCAACTGAGTTAGGAAGGACGCCTGTATCTTTGTAGTGACTTGCTTTATTGATACACCATCCAAAGTGTAATTAATAACTTTACTATGCTCAAAGGGACACTCAATGTCTGCTTTTTATTTTTACCCATCTACCAATAGGTGCCCTTTGTGAGGCATTAGAACCTCCCTGGTCTATGTGGTTGAATCTGTGTTTGAAATTCACTGCTTGACTAAGGGACCTTACAGATAATGATATGTGTGGGGTACAGAGATGAGGTAGTCATTCAAAAATAATGTTAAACACTATTATTGCACACAGAGTGAGTCCATGCAACTTATTATGTGACTTGTTAAGCACATTTTTACTCCTGAACTTTCTTCCTAGGTTTTGGCCTTTCTAGGGAGTTTTTCCTAGCCACCGTGCTTCTACACCTGCATTACTAGCTGTTTGGGGTTTTGGGCTGGGTTTCTGTACAGCACTTCGAGATATTAGCTGATGTACGAAGGGCTATATAAAATAAAATTGATTGAAATTGATTGATTTAGGCTTGGCATAACAAAGGGGCTGAATACTTATTGACTCAAGAAATTTCTGCTTTCATTTTTAATTAATTTCTAAACATTTCTAAAAACATAATTCCACTTTGACATTTTGGGGGTATTTTGTGTAAACCAGTGACACAAAATGAATACTTTCTGAAGGCACTGTAGCCCTCTTGTTTTTTTGGCTACGTGTGGATGCCTCTGCCTTGTCAGAAACGTATCCAAAGCATGGTGGATCCCTTCTCAGGCTGTTTCCCCTCTTATCAACTCAGCACTTTAGAGGGGATACAGAGGATCCAGTATAATCACAATGAATGCGTGTGCCTGTCTGCCTGTGGAAGAAATATGGTTCTGGTTTAACGCCTCATATCTTTTACAGTGTCTCTGAGGCCCTCTCCCCAACACACACACACGCTATGTCTTACTATACTTGTGAGGACTTTTTGGCGACCAACAATTGATTCCCATTCAAAATTATATTTTCTCTAACCCCTAACCTTTACCCTAATCCTAACTCCTAACCCTAAACCTAATCACTAACCTTAACCATAATTCTAACCCTAACCCCTAAACCTAAACCTAAAATAGCCTTTTTACAAGAAGGACCGGCAAAATGTCCTTATTTCTCCGAAATGTTTGTTGGTTTACTATTCTTGTGGTTCTCAAAACTATAGTAAAACGTGCACGCACATGCACACACACACACACACACAAACACACACAGCATACTGTTTTAAGGGTCTTTGTTTTACACATAACACAATTCAAATGTACACACACCGTTTCCCACACGTTAAAAACACGTTTGGTTGCAAATGTAATCCATGTTCTATAATTGCAAGTGGAAAATATACACAGGGAGCAGTGAGGTGATTGAGTTCATAGGCTGATGATCTGGTGGTACTCCTCTCCATCTCTCTGTCCCTGTGTTGTGTGTGTGTGTATGTTGGGTTGGTTAGAGTGTTGGGTCGGTGTTGATGTTGACACTACCGAACACGTCTTCCAGAAGAACAGAGTAGTTAATGCTCTTCACCTCTGGGCCCCTGGCCTCCCTGCTCCAGTCCACGTTAAACTGTGGACAATCAATGAAGTTGATTAAATTCAACAACAGCAGGAAAAAGGGCTCAAGACAAGACAAGACAAGAGAACACACTGGACTGGACTAGGCCCTCATTGAGGATGACAGTTTACTTGCTTGGTTAAATAAAGGTTAGATGTACAAAATGAAATCACTGACACACTAAAGTAACATCCCTGAACTTAGAGGTAGACATGGGTTATGCACACCAAATACATTCACAAAACATGACAGCATTGGCTTTAAAATAGTGCAGTGTTAGTGGTAAAAAAAACGTGAATTATTGTTCAAACAGTGTGCTCCACAGAGACAAGAGTCCAAGGCGGATACAGGTAAATGCCAGGCATCAGCAGAAGACAATCAGGAAAATAACAGAGCCTGGATGATGGGCCAATCAACACAAAGCAAGTCCTCAAGCAGAATTAGGCAACTCTTCTGATGTCATCACATTGAGACAGAAATGTGAGGACGTGAAGACGCAAAGTCACGGCAGCCATTGTCACTCCTCTCACGTGCGTCCGTGGAGCTGGTTTAGAAAGGCAGAGTAGCCCACCAGAGGATCACTGACTAGTTTGGGCTTTAGACATTGCGAGGAAGAGAGGAGCTGGGAACCAGTGATAGTACACTGTTAGAGAACGAAGAGAGAATGACAGAGATAACACAGACGCACAAGCTCTCACACACACACGGGCATGCACACACACGCTAAGAGACTGATTTTCAAACAGTGCCCAACATTTACACCCACTGCCAGCATGCCACTATCACTAGCCCCCTCTGCTGGATCAGCTCTAGTACTGCATCTCTCTCGCACAGATGGTTCTTCTTAGCTGGCTCTGTGCCAAATCTCTCTCATGCTAAATAACCCACTGAGTCTCTCACCTTCAGGGTGTCGTCAGGCAGGACAGGGGGAGCAGGGTTCTCTCTCCAGTTGATCCCTGCCAGGAAGGCATGGTAGTCTATCTCCTCAGAGCCTGCATCAAACCTGGACACACCACAGGACTCTCAAAGATTAACTATTGTATTAGCACACTTCTCACTCCCTGTGCTACTCCTCTTTCTTTCAGTTCCTCTCTATCTCAGTCATTTCTTACTTCTTGAGGAGGGCCCTCAGCAGGTCCTCAGACAGTGGCAGCTGGAAGGCCTTACAGATGATCCTGGCCTCCTTGGTGGAGAGATGCCCAGTCCTGGAGACACAGACCAGACCAGACGAGCACAGATATTAGGCAGGGGAGACCAGATGAGCACAAATATTAGGCAAGCACAGATGAGAAATCATCATTGATGAAAGGCTTGAGTGTGTGTGTGCGCGAGTGCATGCATGCATGTGTGTGAGTGTGCATGTGTGTGTGAGAGGCCACAGTTGTTTTCCCTGTGTTTTTGAGTAGTCTGGAGCCAGTCCTTGACATTATGACATACCGTCTTCATTACAGGGGCATTGGATAGGGAGGAGGAGGAGGAGGACATTTAAGACAAATCTGAAACTAACCCAGGGTAACTACATGGCCACATAAACAAGCTATGCTGATTGACCCTGTAGCGTGGCTAGCTATCAATTTCCTTTATGCCACAGGTCTACTGTGTGTGTGTGTGTGTGTGTGTGTGTGTGTGTGTGTGTATGTGTATGTGTATGTGTATGTGTATGTGTATGTGTATGTGTATGCGTGTGTGTGTGTGTGTGTGTGTGTGTGTGTGTGTAGCTGCTACATGCCATGCAGGTCTGTGGGGATCATCTGGTTCCAATGCTCCACTCACACACTGCTGGAACTAATTGCTGCTACTCAAGCAGCTAAGGATCTGGGGCCGCTGGCCAGCTGATTGATGGCTGGCCATGACGGTAACTGCCTGTGTGGCTCTGTGTGTGTGGGTATGGGGTATATACACAATATATACAAAAGTATGTGGACACCCCTTCAAATTAGTGGATTCGGCTATTTCAGCCACACCCGTTGCTGACAGGTGTATAAAATCGAGCACACAGCCATGCAATCTCCATAGACAAACATTGGCAGTAGAATGGCCTTACTGAAGAGTTCAGTGACTTTCAACTTGGCACTGTCATAGGAAGCCAACTTTCCAACAAGTCAGTTCGTCAAATTTCTGCCCTGCTAGAGCTGCCCCAGTCAACTGGAAGTGCTGTTATTGTGAAGTGGAAATGCCACACAAGGTCACAGAACGGGACCGGCGAGTGCTGAAGCGCGTAGCGCGTAAAAATCGGCTTGTCCCTCGGTTGCAACACTCATTACCGAGTTCTAAACTGATTCTGGAAGCAACGCCAGCACAAGAACTGTTCGTCAGGAGCTTCATTAAATGGGTTTCCATGGCCGAGCAGCCGCACACAAGCCTAAGATCACCATGCTCAATGCCAAGCGTCGGCTGGAGTGGTGTAAAGCTGGCCGCCATTGGACTCTGGAGCACTGGAAATGCGTTTTCTGGATTGATGAATCATGCACCATCTGGCAGTCCAATGGACAAATCTGGGTTTGGCGAATGCCAGGAAAACGCTACCTGCCCAAATGTATAATATCAACTGTTCCAGTGAAGGGAAATCTTAACGCTACAACATACAATGACATTCTGGACGATTCTGTGCTTCCAACTTTGTTGCAACAGTTTGGGGAAGGCCCTTTCCTGTTTCAGCATGACAATGCCCCCGTTAATTAAACATTAACTTCCTGCGAAGCAGCTGCCATTTAAGTACTCAAAAATGCACAGTAACATTTACGTCATTTAGCAGAAGCTCTTATCCAGAGCGACTTACAGTTAATGAGTGCATACATTTTCCATACTGGCCCCCAGTGGGAATCGAACCCACAACCCTGGTGTTGGAAGCGCCATGCTCTACCAACTGAGCTACAGGAGTGCACCGCTTGATTGTCACTAGCTCTTTAAAAAATTGCAGACCTGTCCATGTCAAAAGAGGTGCTCAACCTTAAACAACACAACGAAAAAAACACTTAAACTGGTACAACATTCCGACTGACGGTTGGCACAAATACAACATATTTTAGACCATGCCCTCAAATATGCTAATGAGCCCCCGCCAGCACATTGCCCTACCAACATTTAAAAGTGCGGTATAGCCGCATTCACATGCTAGTCGGAACTCTGAAATTTCCGACTTGCTAATTCATTGAACGCGGCAAGTGATTAACTACAACCAGTTAGCGAGTCGGACATTTATGACTTTCCTAGCTTAATGCTGCGTTCGTAACCAAATGGAAAGTGGAAATTTACCACATACGACTAGGAAAAATCCACTTGAATGGTCCTCCAACTGGTAATTGCTAGTGGGAAACTCGTCCGTCATCCTGAGCTCCCCCTTCTCCCACATGCTGACCTCTGACGTCACCTACCGTATTTTCCGCACTATAAGGCGCACCGAATTATAAGGCGCACCTTCAATGAATGGCCTATTTTAGAACTGTTTTCATATATAGGGCGCACCGGATTATAAGGCGCATAGAATAGAAGATACTGCAGTCAAACGTTTGACTGGGGTTGCGTTATGCATCCACTAGATGGAGCTGTGCTAAAGGGAATGTCAACAAAACAGTCAGATAAAGTCAAACTTTATTAAGCGTTCTGACAACAATTTTGGGGTCTTTATACACACACAAGTGGTGTGGGACTGTGAGTAAGCACAGTACCGGTGTTTGCTGACTACTGTAGCCGTAATGCTGCAAGCGGTGCGGCTTTGTAGTTTACCAGTCGTACTGAAACATTTCATTATTATTAAATTGTTTTTATTGGTTTTTCATACTGAAACATTTTGACAGAGCGCCTTGAGCGCCCTGTACAACCAGTATGGATCAACCAATTAACCAATTGATCCATTTATAAGGCGCTCCGGATTATAAGGCGCACTGTCGTTTTTTGAGAAAATGAAAGGCTTTTTAAGTGCGCCTTATAGTGCGGAAAATACGGTACTAAGGATATTACCTTTATAACAGCATTTTTGGCAGTTAAATGCAACAACAAAACATTATTAATAAAAAGCAATCTATTAATATGGTTTTTGAACACTATATTTTGTTTGCAAGCATGATAGCTGTACTTTAAGATGATGGGGCGGCAGGTAGCTTAGTGGTTAAGAGCGTTGTGCCAGTAACCGAAAGGTCGCTGGTTCTAATCCCCAAGCCGACTAAGTTAAAAATCTGTCGATGTGCCCTTGAGCAAGGCACTTAACCCTAATTGCTCCTGTAAGTCGCTCTGGATAAGAGCGTCTGCTAAAATGTAAATGTAATGGTTTACGCAGCTTGTTGGGCATTAGCCAATCAGCGTTTCTCAACAAGTTGAAAGCACATGAATGCATCCAACTGGTATTTATGACTTCACAACTGGTAAATTGCCACCTACCAAATGGTTATGAATGCAGCATTAAATGGAATATATTGGGTAGAAAAATGTACCATTATACTAGATTATCCGCACAAGTACTCTAAAAGGTACCAACCACTACCATGTGAGTTCCTATGTGTACCTCTTTACCTTTTTGTACACCAGGGAACAACACTGTACCGTAACGTAGTTATACCTCCGTCACTGCCAAAACACCAGCTATGCAGGTGTCGGCTATCGCGTGTTTACGCTTGAATCTAGGCCTTAATATCAAGTGTCCCTGAACACTGCTACTTTTTCGTTGGTATTGTCGGATAATCACACAATTATTGATTTAATTCCGGGCAACCTTTAGCAAAGTGCAGAAATGCATTCTTGCCAATAAATCTGTGATCGATCTCTGTCATTGCCACAGACCTGGTGGCAAAGCAGGAATTTCAGGTTGTTGGAGTCCAAGAGGTTGTGAGTTCAAATCCCAAGTGTGCTAACCAATGTTGAGGTCAGTTCCAGTCAATTCAGAAAGTAAACCAAATTCCACTGAAAAAAATTGTCATTTCTGAATACAGTTCGTAGAAATACATTAAAAGCGCATCTAAAGTATCCTATAAGTTTAAATACAATCGCAAGTGAGGCATGCCAAGTTAAATTGCAGGATGGGCCAAAAATGTGCCTACCCATGTGCATTGCGAATGACAATAAATATATAGCAAAACACTAATACAGTAGAAATGTACAATGACAAATATTTCCCACAAAATTAACAGCCATGGCTAACAGTGTAATTTCATGATACATTATTTCACATGTGAAACGTGAAAACGTGTTTTTGGAACACTTCACATGTAACATGTAACATTTGAAAATGTGCTTTTGGAACACTTCAAATGTGACATTTCACATGAAATAATGTTAAAACGTGTTTTTGGAAAACCTTACGTGACATTTCACATGTGAAATCATGTGAAAACTTGTTTTTGGAACACTTCAAATGTAACATTTCACATTTGAAAACGTGTTTTTGGAACACTTCAAATGTGACATTTCACATGTGAAATCATATGAAAATGTGTTTTTGGAACATTTCACGTGACATTTCACAGGTGAAATCAAGTGTTTTTGGAGCACTTCACATTTAATGCCCCTGTGCACAAAGCGAGGTCCATACAAAAAGTGTGCGAGTTTGAGCATGTGTCCGTTAGGCCTATGGAATTATTATTTCTTAATCAGCACTAATTAGATTGAGCAATAAAAGCCCTACTCGTGGTCTTCTTAAATTAAACTTGTTTTTGACAATATGGAGGACAACACGAGGGACTTTAGAAGGGAGGAACACCCTTTTATTCCATATGACTGGGAACTGCACTGCAGCAAGAGCACATTTTTCACTGGCTGTCCACTGGTCGCAAAAACAATGATTGATAGGCAGTTTAAAATTCTTCAATTCAACCATTATTGGGTTAAAATACACATCTACATTTGTGAACAGCCATCCAGAACAACCACCATAAGGCGCAAATAGCTACATTAGAGAGCAGCAATGTGATTCACATCAATGCGCTATGTAGATATCAATAATAAGTTAAATCAGTATCGCAGGTAGGCTAAGTACCACTGCTGTCGTCCTTACCTCCAAGTGTTTATTCAAGTTGGATCATCTTTGGATGCCAAAAGCAGTCACACCATTGGAAGACATAGCTTTGACTGTAGCCTACAAAAGACTACTCCTGCTCTTTTCCCGCAATCCATTAAACGCATTTGGTGTGTCATCATAGTGGTCTCTGATTTGTGGTCAGACTTGCTTAGGCAGAATAAACTTAAAATTGCTGATTTTAATGTGATTGAGAAAACCGAAAGGTGTCAAGAAACACTCACGCAAACATCCTTTCTGAATGTAAAATTAATCCTAGAAGCAATCATGTAGCATGTGCCTGTATTTCTGTGCTTACGTGTGTGTATGACTCCTTACCTGTGTTGGTCCTCGTGTGTGAAGGCTCTGGTCATGTCGGAGAAGCTCTCAAAGTGTTTCTTGCGTAGGTGGTCCTGAGCCACAGCCAGCATGATGCCCACTTCTGCTTCAGGCTGCTGGCGCTCACAGAAACAACGACCTAGCATCATCACCTCGTGCTCCGACAGACCACACTCCAGACCCACCAGCAGGCCTCTGGCAAACACACACACACACACACACACACACACACACACACACACACACACACACACACACACACACACACACACACACAACCAGAAACATTTGCTTCAAGGGTCTGCTTATAAAACAGCTTATGAACACCATAGTTTGGTGACTACAAAATCTTGGTACTGGGGCACTAGTTCCTGGCCTCAATTTCATTTGGTTCTGGATTTGTTTTTGATCTGAGGAAAAAAAAAAGAGGAGTGTACTACCTGAATAGTTCGTAGGGGATCAGTCCAGTGTTTCCAGGATCACTGATGGTGAGGAACTGTTTAATCTCATTCTGTTTGTCCTCAGGGATGGAGCGGATCTTACTGATGATGGAGCCCATGTTAGCCCTGGGGAACTGGATAGAGAGGAGAGGATGAGATGAGATGAGGAGAGAGGAGAGTAGGAGAGAGGAGAGGAGGAGAGAAAAAAGAGAAGAGTGGGGAAGGGGAAGAGAAGAAAAGAGAAGAAACAAGAAAGAAAGTGCATCCCACCTCCTCAGCGTGTTGCTCCATGTAGTTGAAGGCGTACTCATCAGCGTCGATCAACTGGAAGCCCTGTTTGTTGAGGTTGAGCCTGGCTCCTACATACAGGTCCTGGGCACTGAAATACTGGGACATCTCACTCTTAAACAGCTCCTGACCAGGCTTCTTCACCCTGCCACGCTCCAGGAACTTACCCGCCAACACACCTGGGGGGGGGCACATAAGGGACGTTTGAATATGTGGAAGAAGTAATCTCAATCTGTCAAAGTAGAGACTTCCACTTGCCTTCACTGCAGAAGAGAGGAGGAGGAGAGGAAGGAAAGTAAGACCCATTAGTATGTCTACTTGTGTCTTATGGGTATTCTAGAAGTGTCTACTGGTTGCCTGGTCCTAGCTAGACAAACGGTCCCTACCGGTGTTCCTCTGTGGCGGTTCGAACACACAGATGGTGTCGTCACTGAGGTAGAAGGAGATTATGAAGAGTCTATCTCTGTCGATTGGATTTTCAGTCACCATCTTCCCCATAAACCTCAGCACGTTGCTCTCAAGGCCCTGTCTGGCAGGGGGAAACACACACACACACACAAGCACGCAGACAAGCAGGCAGGCACTCTCACACACACACACACAGCGAGAGGAGTTAACACATTTCTAGACACTTACAGTAGATCTAAGGAGAATACATATTACTGTCAAGTGTCTACAATACAACCCCTTTAAATTGCTGGCTGTAAGGCCAAAATGGGAGAATCGAGCAAGGGCTGAATACTTTATATAGGCACCGTAATAGGTATAAGGTTTCAAGTATTTATTTGGACAGTGAAGCTAAAATGTGTAAATTTGGCTCTATACTCTGTAGATTTGGTTCTATAATCTGTAAATGTGGCTCTATAATGAGTGAGACAGTTAGCGACACAAGTTCATACCCCGAAAAAATGCTTACCTCTCACCATTACCAATAACAGGGGAGGTTAGCATTTTTTGGGTGGTATGATCTTTGTGCCTCTTTAACTTTCTCACTCATTATTATCATTATTCACGATTGTCCATAATCACGGTTGCAGCCACATTAATGTAGAAGCGTTCAGAAACATCTTCTATTCTTATTTACAAAGGTTTGTAGTCACAAGCTTGATGTATTCATTCTGTGCTAGGAATATGGGACCAAACACTAAACTTTAGACTATATTAATACACTGTAAGTGAATTTGTCCAAATACTTATGACTTCTTCAAATGGGGGGACTAGATACATAAAGTGCATTCATTTCTAAATGGTAAAACAGATAAGTATGAAAATACCCTCAAATAGAAGTTGACATTATGTACTGTCGCCTCATATAAAACATTTGATCTCAAATCCAAAATGCTGGAGTATAGAGCCTAATTTATCAATTTTAATTCACTGTCCAAAAAAATACGGAGGGGAGTGTATTAAGTTTAAAAAAGAGAGAAAAACTTATGAGAGGTAAGTTACAAACTACAATGTCTTATGGCACTTTGACTTGAACTAGAGTGAGCTATCCTAAGTAGTATCTCCTGAGTGATGCTTTCCTGACTCTCACCTGTCTTTCTCCATGAGTTTGCGGAAGTCTTTCTGGGGGGGTTTGGGCAGCAGGCCCTGGCAGGAGCACAGAGAGTCCTCTTCAGAGCCAAAGCCATTGTAGGGAGGTACAGGCCTGGGGGGCTTAGGGGCCGGAGGCGCCTTGTACTGTACTGGGCTGAAGTCCTCTGAGAGAGAGGACAAAGAAATGGATAAAGATATATATATATATATATATATATATAGAGAGAGAGAGAGAGAGAGAGAGAGGGGGGGGGGGGGGGGCAGAGAGAGAAATAGAGAGAGACAACAACAGTTGAAGGAAGAGAGGAGAAAGAAGGAGAAAGAGTAGAGATGGAGAGAGAAGGCAACAGGGGGTAACAGTAACCTATATAACCTTTGACCCCCTGAAGTCCCCACCAGGCCTCTCCATCATTGACGAGGCCCCGCCAGGATCGGCTGTGACTAATACAGGGAGCCCCCCATAGCCAGCCTAACCTAACCTAGCCTAGAAACACGGGGGGGGGGGGGACTAACGCCCACAGACAAGAGTTTAGTTACTGCAGACTGGTTGAACCCCCCCCAAGAGCCCCCCCCACCAAGAGCCCTCCCATCTACAGATAGTGGGCCCCATTTTGATGGCACAAAGCGGCAGATATGTTACCGAAAAAACAAGCGCATGAATCATGCTGATGCTGATAGCGGCTTCATTTGAAAGCTTCTCGCTCAGAGCGGCCAAATGGCTGGCGGCGGTGGGGCGATCATTGGTATCTAGTGTCGGTCAGGAACAGGGAGACTGATAGGCCTGGAGCTGTTGTCCTCACTTTGAGCACCTGGAAAATGTTATATATCTGAAATCTATACTTCCACAGCCTTCAGGACTCTCCTATGGAGTCAAAGCTTTGTTTACTATAATGTCAGTGCTGCAAACGCCACTCTATCACCCAAGTCCACCATTGTTGGTCCAGGCCTGGTCACTGTAAAACACTTTGTGACAAATGTTGTTTCATATAGTATATAAACACAATTTGATTGATTGCCAGGGATTATTGTAGGGCTCGCATGGTTTTGATACAATGGAGAGATTTGCATAACACATTTAATAATAATAATAATATATTTAAAATGATTATAATTATGTTATTTTAATCTCCAGCATGTCACAAATTGAGCCTTCACTAAACCTGAATGACAACATCTGAATTAGGGATATGAAGAGCATCTAAGGGTACATTTTAAACGTTTTCAGATTATGGGAAATACTTGACAGTGGCACTAAAAACAGCAAAATAACATTGACATTGCAAAACAGGGTTACTTGAGTTTGCCTGGTCAAGGTAGTGAAATTACAGTTTATTACACTTATACTGACACCCTGTGGTTATACACTACAACTGCAGGTGATGGGCTTGGGTGTGGGATATGGCATTGTGTGTGCGTGCGTGTGTGTCTCACCAATGCCGTATTTGGAGCGGTAGAACTCTTTGGTGAAGTTGTCACAGTCACAGATGATCACCCTGCGTCCCCAAACATTGACCACGCCCCCCAGAGTCAGGTCACTGTCCTTATAGAACTGCTCATGGACCGCACCTGTCTGACAGAGAGAGAGGGAGAGAGAGAGAGGGAGAGAGAGAGAGAGAGAGAGAGAGAGAGAGAGAGAGAGAGAGAGAGAGAGAGAGAGAGAGAGAGAGAGAGAGAGAGAGAGAGAGAGAGAGAGAGAGATAATTGATTGAATGTGTCATTGAACCAATTGCACTTTATGGCAGCGAGGAGTGGGGTCCACTTGCAAAACAAGATTTCACCAAATGGGACAAACACCCCATTGAAACCCTGCATGCAGAGTTCTGTAAGATTATGCTACATGTTCAGAGGAAAACTACAAACAATGCATGTAGGGCAGAATAAGGCCAATATCCACTAATAATAAAAACTCAAAAAATAGCAATTAAGTTTTGGAAACATCTCAAATACAGTGACCCCCTCTCATATCATTACCAAGCCCTGCAATGCCAAGAGCTGAGCAAAGAAAAGAGTCCCCTCATCCAGCTGGTCCTGGGGCTGAGTTCACAAACCTGTTCTACTAACACACTGAAGCCTCAGGACCAGAACATCCAATCAATCAGAATAAACCAAATTACAACACAGTCAAAACAAAACTACATTGCTTATTGGGAAACACAAGCACAAGCACAAAGTAAAATGCAGTGCTATCTGGCCCTAAATCGACAGTACACCGTGGCTAACTATTTGACCATGGTTACTGATCAAAACCTTAGAAAAACCTTGACAAAGTACAGGCTCAGTGAGCACAGCCTTGCCATTGAGAAGGGTAGACACAGGAAAACCTGGCTCCCTGTAGAGGAAAGGCTGTGCAACCACTACACCACAGCAGAACCTGAGACAGAGCTGCATTTCCTGACAAAATGTCAAAGATATTAGAGAGTGTCATTTCCCCAAATTTGAAACAGTTCTTCAAGGTTTCAAAGACCTCTCTGATGAGAATAGGCTACCCGTCCTGTTGGGGGAGGACGCAGAGAGCTGTGGGTTGGCAGCGCACTACATTGCTGCCTGCCATAAGATGAGGGACAGTGTCTGACAGACCAACCAACCTGCACATGTCCTCTATATTGTTATTATTGTTATTCAATGGTTATTTTGACCCTTGGTTATTGTTGTTACTGTTGTCCCGTTGACAATATTGATTATTATTATTTTAATTATGTTAATATTGTAAATATCCAAAGTAAGCTTTGGCAATATGTACATTGTTACGTCATGCCAATAAAGCAAACTGAATTGAATTGAGAGAGAGAGAGAGAGAGAGAGAGAGAGAGAGAGAGAGAGAGAGAGAGAGAGAGAGAGAGAGAGAGAGAGAGAGAGAGAGAGAGAGAGAGAGAGAGAGAGAGAGAGACACTTTAGCTGAGAGTAAGCTCCCTTCTTACAGTAAACTATGCTGGATCAAAATGACCCTTTACACTCAAAGAAACAGACATAAAAACATTTGGAACCAAACTGCTGTTTCTACAACATCCCTTATTTTCCGTATAACATTCAATATGGACAAATGTGTCACTTTTTGTCTCTAAAAAGACTCCCCAACAGCACCTACTTTGAGGCTGTCCAGGATGTAGCGTCCTCCCTGGCCCATAGGACCAAACACGTTGAGCACCGTACGGTCTGTGATATCCCCGGGCTGACGCTTGGGGATGGGAGCATGCTGCAGGAGACAACAGAGGAGAAAACACACCGATAGAGAAGAGTCAGAAACACACACACACACACGCATGCATGCACACGCACACACACATACACACACACACTTACACAGTACAGACACACACGCATGCCAAGCTAAAACACACACACACACACATACACACACACACACACTACACCAAACCACACAACACCAAACCAAACCAAACACTACACCAACCACACCACACTACACCAAACCACACCACACTACACCAAACCACACCACACTACACCAAACCACACCACACTACACCAAACCACCACCATAACCACAGCACACAAAGAGTGGCTGGTACTTGCCTCCTGGTTCTTGGGCATGGAAGCAACATAACAGGAAGAAAGAGAAAGAACACAGACAGACCAAATCATCATAATTTGTCTTGAGGGACAGATTTAATTTGTATCTGGGGAGAATCGTTATGTCCAACTGGCTAGGAGGTTCAGATGCAACCTTTGAGGATGACATTTAGAGAAAGGCAACTGAACAAACAGCATGATAATCACTGGATTTAAAAAAAGGAAAACAGCTGGAAAGGAATGAATGAGCAAGGGCCATCTTTCATGATGAGTTAGTGTCTGAACAGTGACTAGAGAAGAGATGAGGAAAGATGCTTCAGGGAGGCTAGACGTTACTGCAGACCTTTCAGAGTGGATGAGAGCTCTGTGAAGGAGGGAGGCCGAAGCCATTCAAGCAGAAGAGGAAGAGAGGCACCTTTACTCTTTTGACTATACTTCAACCGAAACATATCACTCCCCTTATACAAGTGATTCAAAGCAGCGAAACAATGGTAGTTTAGACTTCCCATCTTCTGCCCTTCCTTTAATTTCCTCTTGAACATTTTGGCAAAATGTAGATTTCCGCCTAAATAGACATACCCAAAAGTAATAATTGTTCATGAGATGGCCATAAACACTAACTAGCAATGCTGCATGCAAGGTCTGGAACTCACCTTTATGGTAAAAATAGTTCTAAATTACTCACTTTTGAGGACACAAGCTCAAGTACATAGTACAAATATTATTAAAATATTAAAAATCATATAACGATAAGGCTTGAAATGACTGACATGCTTTCTAAATAGAGTAACAATCAAATTATAAACAACTTACTGTAATATTTCACCTTTCTTATAACTGTAAAATAAGTATAATAATATTTAGTGACAGTACAAATTTGGCCCCATTTCATATAACTGAGGACAGAGCATGTGTCCTCTGAGCGACACAGAGACAACATTCAAATATCTGAAGACTCGTTACAACTTCAGCTTTCCGCACAAAGTGATTTTGTCCTTCTGTGACCAAAATAAAGTGATCGTGTTTTAATTCTACGAAATGATTTAGTATTTTTTAATGTTGAGAGATCTAAATCCGGCTGAGAATATTACAGCAATATTTAAAAAAACAGCTGCTGGATTCGCTAGACTGTCCCCTCTCATATGCCGTCTCCCAGGCTGGGCTCTGTCGCTCAGAGGCAGAGCAAATCGATTCTTTGTCTGGATTGGCCAGAAAATGTGACACACCATTCCCTATGCAAATGTCGGGTGTGAAACCTGACCCTGCAAGTCAGCTCTGCTGACAGAGTGATGCGGAAAGCAAACAGATGGGGCTTTCTGCTACTATAAGGCAGTGGTTCCCAAACTGTGGGGCGCATGTATTTATTTATTTATTTTTAAACTCAGTCGCGCTTTCAACTTACTCTTGAAAGTTGTAATAGTAGAATGCTAAAGGTGACATTTCGAAATTCGGTAGTGCATCAGCAGTTTTCCTCTTGTCATGTCAGTCATTGCAGACGTTAGAGAGCTATTTATAACTTGTCGGGAATGTCCAGATCAACTAGCCCATGTCAGCTAACATTTTGTAGCTAGGTTTTTTAGCCCATTTAATTTGTTGTAATGTCTGAGTCACTCAGATATCACATGAACACACATAGGACATGACAAAATGTGTAGAATAACAGGAAATGTGCTTTTCAAATGGCAACACCCCATGCGGGATGTTCCCCAATTATGAAAGCAGGACCCGAGTGAAAAAGTTTGGGAACCACTGCTAAGGCACTGGACCCTGCGACGTTCACAGAGCGCTCTGTACACCAAAATATCAGTTGGAACCGGTCCATAACCGATCAAAGTTCCTTAAATAGGGGACATAACATCTAAGAGTGAACACCACACCAAGGCAGGACCACGGCTAGCTCCCATGTCCTGTCTGAAATCACCTTGGGCAACTTGCTAGGAACTACATTTCTCATGTGACCTTGGGCAGCTTGCTCCTAAATCTTTGTATGAACTACATTTCCCATCTCACCTTGGGCAGCTTGCTACGGTGCAGGAACTTGGGGGTGGCATCCCGGCCTGAGTTGGGGTAGATGACCTCCCTGATCTCTATGGTGTCATCGGCCAAAAAGTAGTGCAGGGTGAGCTCGCGTGGGTCCCCGAACATGTTCTCTGAGTCGTCCCAGTGGCAGTAGAACCGCAGTACATTGCGGTCGTGGTCCAGGAACTGCTTGAGCGTGTCCAGCCTCTCGTATGGACGCAACGGCTTCATACTCTTTTCCATCTGTGGATACACACACAGATTATTGATAATACTGTATACATTATCAAAACATAAAGTCTACAGTATACAGCTTGGTAGCTACAGATAGTTTCTGTATGTCCAGAAGTCATGTAATTGTGATAATATTCGATAAATAGATGTCAGTCATTGTTTTCTGACAGGTGGCATCCGTGCAGTGAGCTGCTCTATCTGTCAGAGGACAATGTAAATCAATCAGCCTGAGTAGTTTCTGCTCAGTGTGACATGTTTCTCAGGCTAGCACCTTGGCATTAGATCAATAGTAAAGCACTATGTTCAACACGGAAGATGGTACCACTAAATCGATAATATCACCTTCTCCGTTATCCCTCTCTTCCTCCCTTTCACCCTCCCTCATTCCCCCTCCTTTCTAATCCCACCTCTTGTCGTAGGTTGCTGTAGGGGTCCAGGGGAGTGGAGGTGGGGGGGTTGAGCCGTACCCCCATCTTCCTGAGGAAGTTTCTGGTGAAGGGATCACAGTCGGTGACCATGAAGGTGCGTGAGTACAGCACCATCTGCTGGTTGATGTTGAAGTCGTGCACCGTGTAGAAGCGCTCATCATCTGGAGGGGACAGTGGGATGCGGTGACGACGAATCAGCGTTCCTGAAAATAGGAAAGATCTATTAAAACCCCTTTAACATTGAGGACTTTTCCTGTAATCAACTGTATTTTTGCAGGTACCGGTTTCTGTTTGAATAGGGTAGAAATTCAGGTACAGTTGAAGTCGGAAGTTTACATACACTTAGGTTGGAGTCATTAAAACTTGTTTTTCAACCACTCCACAAATTTCTTGTTAACAAACTATAGTTTTGGCAAGTCGGTTAGGGCATCTACTTTGTGCATGACAAGTAATTCTTTCAACAATTGTTTACAGACAGATTATTTCACTTATAATTCACTGTATCACAATTCCAGTGGGTCAGAAGTTTACATACACTAAGTTGACTGTGCCTTTAAACAGCTTGGAAAATTCCAGAAAATGATGTCATGGCTTTAGAAGCTTCTGATAGGCTAATTGACATAATTTGAGTCAATTGGAGGTGTACCTGTGGATGTATTTCAAGGCCTACCTTCAAACTCTGTGCCTCTTTGCTTGACATCATGAGAAAATCAAAAGAAATCAGCCAAGACCTCAGAAAAAAAAATGTTGACCTCCACAACTCTGGTTCATCCTTGGGAGCAATTTCCAAACGCCTGAAGGTACCACGTTCATCTGTACAAACAATAGTACGCAAGTATAAACACCATGGGACCACGCAGCCGTCATACCGCTCAGGAAGGAGACGCGTTCTGTCTCCTAGAGATGAACGTACTTTGGTGCGAAAAGTGCAAATCAATCCCAGAACAACAGCAAATTACCTTGTGAAGATGCTGGAGGAAACAGGTACAAAAGTATCTATATCCACAGTAAAACGAGTCCTATATCGACATAACCTGAAAGGCCGCTCAGCAAGGAAGAAGCCACTGCTCCAAAACCGCCATAAAAAAGCCAGACTACGGTTTGCAACTGCACATGGGGACAAAGATCGTACTTTTTGGAGAAATGTCCTCTGGTCTGATGAAACAAAAATAGAACTGTTTGGCCATAATGACCATCGTTATGTTTGGAGGAAAAAGGGGAATGCTTGCAAGCCAAAGAACACCATCCCAACCGTGAAGCACGGAGGTGGCAGCATCATGCTGTGGGGGTGCTTTGCTGCAGGAGGGACTGGTGCACTTCACAAAATAGATGGCATCATGAGGAAGGAAAATTATGTGGATATATTGAAGCAACATCTTAAGACATCAGTCAGGAAGTTAAGGCTTGGTCGCAAATGGGTCTTCCAAATGGACAATGACCCCAAGCATACTTCCAAAGTTGTGGCAAAATGGCTTAAGGACAACAAAGTCAAGGTATTGGAGTGGCCATCACAAAGCCCTGACCACAATCCTACAGAAAATGTGTGGGCAGAACTGAAAAAGCATGTGCGAGCAAGGAGGCCTACAAACCTGACTCAGTTACACCAGCTCTGTCAGGAGGAATGGGCCAAAATTCACCCAACTTATTGTGGGAAGCTTGTGGAAGGCTACCCGAAACGTTTGACCCAAGTTAAACAATTTAAAGGCAATGCTACCAAATACTACTTGAGTGTATGTAAACTTCTGACCCACTGGGAATGTGATGAAATAAATAAAAGCTGAAATAAATCATTCTCTCTACTATTATTCTGACATTTCACATTCTTAAAATAAGTGGTGATCCTAACTGACCTAAGACAGGGAATTTTTACTAGGATTAAATGTCAGGAATTGTGAAAAACTGAGTTTAAATGTATTTGGCTAAGGTGTATGTAAACTTCCGACTTCAACTGTAAATCTCGATCAGCAATTTACCTGCTCAAGACCTAGGGTAAAATACCTCACCTTGTGGTATCCCACTGTTCTTGAATTCAGGCTCTACCACCTGGATGGTGTCGTCTTCCAGGTAGAAATAGATCTTACACTTCCTGACACGGTACTTCTCCTCTCGCTTCTGAGGCACAGCCTCCTGGAAGAACGCATTGAAGCTCAGCACCTGAGGGAGGGAGAGGGAGGGATGGTGAGAATGGAGCAGTCTGTCTGTCTGTCTGTCTGTCAGTCTGTAATCTACTGCACCTTTCAAGGATTATTTGGAAAGCACAAAAAAGTTAAATGACAGACCTGCTTGTCGAAGGCCACCCATGAGGGAGTGTCACTGCCCTCTCCATTGGGGAAGACAGAATAGTTTAGTTGAGACTTCTGGCCCAACAGAAACTCCCCTCCAATGCCTGGCTTCCCTGAGCCCACCATCATAGGGACCCCGTTGGAATAGTCAAAATGCTGGGACTTGTGGAATTTGTCTTTCCCCAACTGGAGGATAAGGATGTCACAAGTGAGTCAAGTAAAGACAAGAGCCAAATGCAGGGAAAATATTATGGTTTGTGGTTAGAGGATAATGTCAGAAATAGCAGAAATTCATCATATTCAATTTATTTTCTTAACGTACTTGCAGCAAACAGGAATGCATTTTAATCCAATAGATTTGCACAATCTATGGACGCTGCTGCTAGGGAACATAGTGTAGCTAGCTAGCGCTGTGTTGTTCTGTTCGCCTTAATTCGCGAAGTAGGCTAGATAGGGTCAATAATCAAAATAATCTCACACGTATCCAGTAATTTAACAGGAAACATTGCACAAAACTTACGTTTTTGTTGAGAGAATTGCCAGGCAGCATCGGCAGTGCCATAGTGGCATTAATTGGGATATAAATATAATTTTTCCTCCGTCCAACTCTTGAGCATTTCTTTCTTCCGTCCCGTTTGAGGTTGCCATGGAGCGTGCTGTTTTCTTGCGTTGCCTGGCAACGGTGCAGCGTCAGAATCTAGGCTTGCACCATTTTAGCAACATTCTTCTCAGAAAATTGTAACATTGCACAGAAACATTTTGCTACATTGTAACATTTTATGTATAATATACAAACTAGACCTAGTAATGATGACTAACTTGAAAGATGAACGCTGACTCATTAAGGTAATTTAACTCAAATAGTAGGACAGGCAATTAACTGCACCCTAAATGCATAGTTGTAGGAAGGACACAGACATATTATTTCATCTGAAATAAAAAAAGAAAACCATGATTGCTGCATTGTCTTTTATTAAGGATATATACACAAAGTACAACAACATTGTCATTCAATGAAAGGTAAATTGCTTTCCTGTGAAAGAGAAGACACAAAAGAGGCTACACTACCTCTAAGCAAATATTGCACTGCTTGTAAAGACAAAATAATATATAGTCATAGTAATCCTAAATCACTCAATATAATGTGATTGAAGTATTAACTCATACAATGAAAATGACATGTCATGCATAGTTTCCTGAGCAACATGATGCACTGCATGATTGGAGTATACTGGCGGTGTAGGACTATTGACCAGAATAACAATCGAACTGGAAAAGAACTAGACCCAAATGTAATCAATAAGGTCCAGAAGTACAGCCCAATAAGGTGTGTGCCTGTAACCAATGCAACAGTACACTCTACATATACTGTACTGTACATAGGTCCCGTGTAGCTCAGTTGGTAGAGGATGGCGTTTGAACGCCAGGGTTGTGGGTTCGATTCCCACCGGGGGCCAGTATGAGAAGAAAAAAAATGTATGCACTCACTAACTGTAAGTCGCTCTGGATAAGAGCATCTGCTAAATGACTAAAATGTAATATTCTTCTATGGGCTCCATGGAAGTCTGATGAAGACCACAAGGTCGATCTCAATAAATACAGTATGTGGTGTCTTCCTATCCTTTTTATGTACATACATACTTTGATCTCCAGCACCTGCTCAAAGCCATTGGATGAGTGTATGTTTCTATCTTTTCATATGATGAATACATGAATCAGTGGGACAGGACCACTAGATCCCATGTACAGGATCACAACACGTGTGCTCTTACGGAGTGTTGATTAACTGTTTTGTAGACCAGTGTTTCCCACAAGACCCACTGACTCCTTTAGGTCGTGCCCAATTTTCTTGAATCAAAGCTAAAGCCTGACTAGAAACATGGTTTTGTTTATTCGGTGGAGCAGCAGAAAATCTTGGTTCCAGTTTCAAGTGGCGCTAAAACCATGCATTTACATGGTAGATGCATGGGTAGGTATTGTGTACAGTGGGGGAAAAAAGTATTTAGTCAGGCAACAAATGTGCAAGTTCTCCCACTTAAAAAGATGAGAGAGGCCTGTAATTTTCATCATAGGTACACGTCAACTATGACAGACAAAATGAGAAGAAAAAAATCCAGAAAATCACATTGTAGGATTTTTAATGAATTTATTTGCAAATTATGGTGGAAAATAAGTATTTGGTCAATAACAAAAGTTTCTCAATACTTTGTTATATACCCTTTGTTGGCAATGACACAGGTCAAACGTTTTCTGTAAGTCTTTACAAGGTTTTCACACACTATTGCTGGTATTTTGGCCCATTCCTCCATGCAGATCTCCTCTAGAGCAGTGATGTTTTGGGGCTGTCGCTGGGCAACACGGACTTTCAACTCCCTCCAAAGATTTTCTATGGGGTTGAGATCTGGAGACTGGCTAGGCCACTCCAGGACCTTGAAATGCTTCTTACGAAGCCACTCCTTCGTTGCCCGGGCGGTGTGTTTGGGATCATTGTCATGCTGAAAGACCCAGCCACGTTTCATCTTCAATGCCCTTGCTGATGGAAGGAGGTTTTCACTCAAAATCTCACGATACATGGCCCCATTCATTCTTTCCTTTATACGGATCAGTCGTCCTGGTCCCTTTGCAGAAAAACAGCCCCAAAGCATGATGTTTCCACCCCCATGCTTCACAGTAGGTATGGTGTTCTTTGGATGCAACTCAGCATTCTTTGTCCTCCAAACACGACGAGTTGAGTTTTTACCAAAAAGTTATATTTTGGTTTCATCTGACCATATGACATTCTCCCAATCCTCTTCTGGATCATCCAAATGCACTCTAGCAAACTTCAGACGGGCCTGGACATGTACTGGCTTAAGCAGGGGGACACGTCTGGCACTGCAGGATTTGAGTCCCTGGAGGCGTAGTGTGTTACTGATGGTAGGCTTTGTTACTTTGGTCCCAGCTCTCTGCAGATCATTCACTAGGTCCCCCCGTGTGGTTCTGGGATTTTTGCTCACCGTTCTTGTGATCATTTTGACCCCACGGGGTGAGATCTTGTGTGGAGCCCCAGATCGAGGGAGATTATCAGTGGTCTTGTATGTCTTCCATTTCCTAATAATTGCTCCCACAGTTGATTTCTTCAAACCAAGCTGCTTACCTATTGCAGATTCAGTCTTCCCAGCCTGGTGCAGGTCTACAATTTTGTTTCTGGTGTCCTTTGACAGCTCTTTGGTCTTGGCCATAGTAGAGTTTGGAGTGTGACTGTTTGAGGTTGTGGACAGGTGTCTTTTATACTGATAACAAGTTCAAACAGGTGCCATTAATACAGGTAACGAGTGGAGGACAGAGGAGCCTCTTAAAGAAGAAGTTACAGGTCTGTGAGAGCCAGAAATCTTGCTTGTTTGTAGGTGATCAAATACTTATTTTCCACCATAATTTGCAAATAAATTCATTAAAAATCCTACAATGTGATTTTCTGGATTTTCTTTTCTCAATTTGTCTGTCATAGTTGACGTGTACCCATGATGAAAATTACAGGCCTCTCTCATCTTTTTAAGTGGGAGAACATGCACAATTGGTGGCTGACTAAATACTTTTTTCCCCCACTGTAACTGTAGGTACACATTACAGAGTATTTACAACCTTTTGCAGTTTGTGTAATTACACTTTGGCTCATTCTGATATAGTGTGCTGTGCATCTGTTCTTGTTTTTCCCATCACCATTTAAGAAGGGCACTTTACTTCACAGCCATGATAAAGCAGACCTCGCAAAAAAAGCCTCAATAAACTGCAGGTCTCCATTTTTTATATCTTAGGATGCCAGTCCAAGCAAGAAGCCTCCGAAGAATCCACTGGTGATGATTATGTTTGTCTTCACAAACTCTGTGGACTGCGAGAGAGAAAGACAAATAAATATGCAAAATTCATCAATTGAATTAGTAGTCTGTACAAGTAAGCAGAGTCAATATTATGTTAGTAGGTGTAGTTTAAATTCACATTGCTTTGTCCCTTGTAGGATGAATAAAATATTGTATGATTAAATATTAGACATGTTATGTTGACCAGCTGCAGTGGGCTACCTGGTCAATAAAAGAGTTAAACTCTGGTACAGCCCTGTCGGCTTTCTTCTTCAGGTGTCTCTTGGCTTTGTTGACATCCTTCTCCACTCTCTTCCAGTCCACCTGCACATAGCCACTGTGGTTGGCTATCTGGAGATTAGAAAAGGAATAGAACGTTTATATTTTCGGGACGACCAAGACCCAGAGCAAAAACATAATGTACTGTAATCGATGACAATAAGGATTGTGGCTAATAATGACATTCAGACAGTCCTATGAAAAATGTTTATGAAATGTGTTTATAAAACATTCAGATGTGTTATTCATTGATAAATCCAAGTCCAAGCTCCTCTTTGAAGTGGGTTGCCAGCTGACAGAACTCATTTAGACTTTTATACTGTAAATCAAGAACTTGTGTTGAGTTCCTACCTGTAATAACAGGAATCCTCCACCCACAGCGGTGGCTGCAATCTTCCCCACCTTTTGGAAAAGATATCCTGCACACCTGCCAGTGAGAGACAATGCAAAACTGAAATGACACCCTATCCCCCATAAAGTGCTCTTCAATATTCATGGAAAAAAGCATAATCTACAGCAGGAGCCTTTGTATTTTGACCATACCATGCATAAAGCACCGTAGCATTGAGCAACATATGAGAGAGATATCACATGATACTAAAGAAGTACTGAGGATGCATAGCATAATCAATCAACCCTGGCCTGGCCTGGCCTGCATGACTTACCAGCCACTCAAGCCCCCCAGTACTATTTGTGTGGCCACCGAATACTTCCCAGACATAGGACCCGAATTGTTCCCACCAAATAGGCGGCCCCACCATTGTTGACGTCTGGCATATTCTGTTAGGTAGACCACCTCGTATGTGTCCTCTTCCTTCTCTGGGTCTTGGGAGACAAACAAAATAGAGCTTGATGTACAAGGGGAGAATAATTAGCAGCAGCACAAGTATTTAAAAAAATCCTTATCAGACATTTTGGTTAATTTTACCATATGCAATTGCCAATTCTATTTCGTTTTCGTAATAGGCAGTCTAAAAAAAAGTAGCCTACTGTAAATCATGTAGGAGCACGAGAGGTTTGAATCTGCAATTTGTAGACAAATCTTGACATAATAATTAATCCGCGTATGTGGGGAAATAGAACTCTAAAATGTCAAGTATCACAGCGTTATTGTAGCCACTAGCCTATCATAATCATCTTGATAGAACCTATGACGTTGATACATTGAAACCCACGGAGGGAGTGCGATCAGACAGACCGAGAGAATAGGTCAAACAGTTTTTTTGTTGTTGCGAATACTTTGCCACATATTTGATACATTTGGATATGACTTAATGCTCTATTAAGTACATTCAAGATGCAATCATTGGTCCAAATATCGAAACATAAAGGCCACTTACCCGCTTCACGATCCGCCATTTTGGAGTGCTCTGACTTAAATGCTGTCCCAGGCATGATGGGATGGTAATGTTATACGTCGTTTGCATAGCTTGTCAGACAGTCAAACATTTTAATTTCATGCATTGATTATACAAAATATAATGCTTATTTAAATGACATTATTGGAAAGTCTCAATGCAGTTTATCATTCAATGCAGCTGTCATGAATTTAGGTTTCCTCACAAAACAAAACGGACTTTAATTTTTTTTAATTGACTTTTAACAAAACATTTGCCCATTTGTATACATATTATACAACTGCACACAGTTAAAGCTACTGCAGAATAGGCTACTTCAGTCTGGAATTGAGGAGCAGGGTCGGTTCCCTAGCTTTAATAGCTGAGTGAGGTCCGTTGCCTAAATTACTCTGATCAATGTTTTTATGTTTATTTTTTTGTATTCCACATTTACAACCATCAGAGTCATTTATGAATAATATAGCCTTTGGTACTATTGTATGGTATGTGGTATGTCTGTAGTATGCAACTGGGATTCTGGGAGATGTTTTAGGATGACACCTGAACTAACTCAACATCTCCAATACCTGAGAGCTCTTGACCCTTATGGGAAAAACCACATGATTTTTTTCACATGATTTCACATGAGAAATGACGTGTGAAATCATGTGATTTTCTGTAAGGGTGAGCTTTATGTAACTAGGCCTGTTCTATGACTGCATGGTCGGTTATTATTTCATTTTTATTGAAAGCCAAAATCCAGAGTCTGTGTTTCATCCCTTCGGCAGCCCAACAATTTAACTGACACATTTTTATCAGACAGACTCCAAGTGCAAAAGTTCTCTGTGTTTCTACAGTATTTCTATAATGCTAAAATATGTAGAGTTGAATCTTGGGTCAAATAATAAGCAGATTTAGTAGGCTTATGAATATTGGGCTTGCTGCCTATGTGTTTGATAATCACTATTCTTAATTGAAACCAGGAGTTTGATTTGATCCTTCCTTTGTCCCTCATACTTCACTGCTTCCTGTTCCAACACACTGACAGGTGGCCATCTATCTCTGCCACCATGACAGTGATGACAGATTTACAGCCCAGTCAATCTGTGGTAGCAGAGGGGGGCTTGTGCGTATTCCAATCAAACTGAAAAGTGACCTCTGCTCTGAGTTATCATGTCTGATTGACAAAGCCACATCGTCTGGAGGAGACAAGAACAACAGCCAGCAGGACTCAAGACTCCCCATATACCGGATCAAATATCAGCTCTTCCTCCAATACCCAAACCTTCACCTTATGCCATATGAGTTGAACATTGAAAACAGCCCAAACTCCCCAAGGCGTGTTGTGTTGTGAAGGGCATGTTTTGTCAGCGCCCATATGAGTATTCCAGCATCAGGCCATTGGCATATGTCTGAAGATATCTTGCCTACAATAGCAACTTGCGAAGACATACTTGTCTATGCATAAACACTTATATATATATATATATATATATATATATGGTCTACTCACATGAGGAGTTTAAGTAACCAATGTTGGGGAATGTTGTTGAGGACAGGACAGTCTTGGGCTGATTATACAGCAGAGAGTCTGCTTGCTGTCAGTTGAGGTAAACTAAAGTGAACCTATTAGCATCAAGCAGCCATAGTGAATAGGATAGGTATGGATAGGTTTATAAAAAGGAATATTACACTTTGGTATAAAAGGTTTATAAGTGAGTATAACACATTTTTGCGTATGTCTATATATTAGGGATCTGTTTGATATAGATATAGGAACAGAACCCATACATACAGTGATAATAGCCACTGAGATACAACTATGACAGCCATACTAATAGTGAAGTATTAAATGCTATAATTTTGTAAATCACATATTACACTGTTATAACAAGCTGATAACAAAGCAATACCATCAAATAGCAACACTTTAGCAGTAACGCTTGATCCTTGGCAGCTGACCTGTACCGCCTCTCATACTGGCAACACTCAGTTACCTTAACCAATAATATACTTCAAAGTACAGTTACGTAATCATAATACAACATGGGAAACCAATCGAAAGAAGCTGAGGAGATGCGTGAAGTTGATGGTTTGTTATAAACGTGTGTCTGAGGAACGAAAAATCAAGTCACATGACTACACACAGATACATTCATTGGTCACGGAGAGGGGAGGGCGTTCTTACGGTGGCGGCGTGCGTTCGCCTATGTGACAATTACAACAACTTTGAGCTGTTCTGTGGGGGGAAGTTTACGATATTACCAAATAACGCCCTATCGTAAAATCCGGCATCAACTTTACTCCATGCATTAATTGGCAATGAAATACATGTAGTATTTTGTGTACAACCATGCGAGAAGAAGGCTTTTTTGGACGGGTCTTGTTTTCCTTGAGGATTTGGCAATCACTCGGCTAAGCTACGTTTTCAGTGCTGGATAAGGTGGTGTACTTTCGTACTTATTATATTTTGGTGAAGTTTGTCGCCGCTTCCCTGTTGTTTTTCCATGAAATCGTGCGGAGTGTCGCTCAACGTCGCTGCTTCTGCTACTGCTCGAAGTCTCAGCGCTGCTGGTGATGAGGAAAATAAAATGGCGGCGGGAAAAGCGAATGAAATAGAAGAGGACTTTCCGAAGCTAACAGCGCAGGAGAGAGAAAGCTTGTTCGAAATTGACAGGTTAGCGAATTAACAATTAACTTATTTAGTATATGTTTTTCTGTGTTGAGTTTTCGTGCATTCAATTCTTTAAAAACGACGTATATATCCCCAAAGTAATACGGAACCGCCTGTGTTGTCGTATACTTTGCAGTTCACTGTTTGGATTTCAGAGGCTTCATGAAGATGGCGCCAGAACGAAGGCCTTACTGTTAAAGGTATGTCACACATAGGACAAGTTCGCCCGTCTCCGCTAGCACAACTGATTCCTGCAGATCATCTGGAATAAGTGCCAGGGACCTCACACAACCCTACTTGACAGCTGGACATTTACTAAACTTAACCAAAATTCCCTTACATTAGCAAGAGGCCAGGCGCACTTAGCAAGTGAGTGAAGATTACATTATGACCTTTCCAGTGTGAATAGTTTTATGTTGACTATCACCAGTCATGCACTTCTACCATATCACAATAGCACAGACCTGGCTTCGGAATTACATGGTAGGAAGCTAGTTAATATTATTACCATCATTTATCTTGCTGGCTATGTTAATTCTTGGGGGGCATTGCTGGCCGGTGGCTGCACACTTTTGACAGCTGAACAAACAACAATTGTTCTAGTTGGAAGGCAATAAGTTGGTCAGGAAATCATCATTCGACTGTCCCAATGCCACCCACTTCACTTGCTGCTGAAATAGTGGTCCTGACATTTTGTAACATTATGCACGCGCAGCAATCAACGATGGACAGCTCGCGACAATGTAACGTTTTCACGGCCCAAGTTAGGAGCGTCCTGTCCCGTGTAGCTGGATAGCCAGTGGATACTTAGCTAGCTAGCTGCTGTTAGCATACCGTACGGGTCCTTTCCCATATATTGCCAGGACATTGGTGTTAGGTGTGCTCGAATGAGATGTTGTTTTGTTAATTTAACGTAATAAGTCACTAGTAATGGCTGCGGATCAGCCCAAGATGGCGGGGTTGGTAGGAGAGGAGTTGGCTAACTAACGTTAGCTAGCTAGTCTATATAAAGCTAGCTAGCTACGTTATGTCAACTGTATGTATGTATATATTATATATATATATATATATATATATATATATATATATATATAAATAAATGAAATGCGACCAAACTAAATTACATTTACATCATTTAGCAGACGCTCTTATCCAGAGCGACTTACAAATTGGAATTGAATATATTTGCATGAGATTATTTAACTGCTAAGCATTGAATCAAGATGAGTAACAAAAACACGTTTTGTTTCTCGCTGCTGTTTTGAATATCCGTCGGTAGTTTGTGTAATGTAACTAATTAGCTATCGTTAGTGCAGCTATCTGGCGAAACAGGCTAGCTAATATTGAAGCTAGCTACGTCTCCAGTGTGTCATCATCAACATGTGGCTATCACCACAACCCCAAACAAAAGTAGTTCGCCGACCGTCTAGTAATGTTTTACCCTTTCGATTCTCCAGTCTCCACCATTATTATAATGTCATGCAATTGAGAAACAAATCCACGATTTGTTCTGCAGCAGATGAGTATTATGTCAGAGCTCGAGCTCTTATGGATGGGACACTCAGGGGGCCAGCTAGCTCACGCACCGACTACACACGCACTAAGTACTTTGTTTTGAAATGAGGCGTCTTTAAATGAATGACTCTTTGCAGTCATTTTTTGTGTTGGTGACAGATATATGAATATGTCCCATTCACATTGGAGCTTGCCCCATCATATAACTGCGATAAGCTCAAATAATATGCAGTGTGATCAGAGATAGTTGGGGGGAGGGGAGGTTTGTGGACCACTGGTTTACCCCACACTACTATGTACAGACGCATGGCTGATGAAAGACATAGGCCTGTTACTTACTGGTGTACTTCTCCTTTTTGTATATGTATTCTGAGTTTTTGTTTAGTAAATTAACCAAGTTGGAAACCATTAACCTAACTCTGTCATCTACATAATACAACACTGGTACATTAATATTAGTCATGTAATATTTATTGGACTGGTTAGGTAATAACCCATGCTGTTAGACTGTGACGAGATGAATAATGTCTGATGTAATGAGTAGAAATGTTGCTGATGCTCAGTGGGCTCTGGTAGGCCAGGTGTCACGCAGAGCAGAGAGAGCTGTGCTTCTGCTGCTGCTGGAACTAAAGACATGTCACTTAAAGGGATTCGGACCACTGGGGATCCAGCCAGCACGCCACAAAACATTCCTCTTATTTCCTCTTTTATTTAAACCCTCTTCTCTTGACACATTGCAGGCTTTCAGCTGATAATTAAATGTAATTAAAAAAAAAAAAATTAAGGAGAGAAAACAGAGCACTAGTGTTTGCTCTGTACCTGCTCCATAAAGA